TCATTGATCTAATTTTCACTGGTCTTCTGGCGAGGGATTATACAACATGTTCTGATCTCGGTTACGATGATCCACTGGCACGTGATTGTTACTTGACAATTGGAATAATGATGACAATTGCAGCTAGAGGGTATACCCTTTTGGTTGTTAACGTTGTATTTGCTTGCCTCACGATTTCATTCTCACAAAAGGTAAAGAACTATAACATATTCATCGTTCTGAGTGTTTCTGAGTACAGTTATAGTAGATTGTTTAACTTGAAAATTTCATTTTTACAGATTATCCGAAGTGACAATCTCATGGGTGCATTTTAGTAAGTAATTCATTTAAGCAGGTTGTCTGAACTTCGATCAAAATCATCAATGGCCCAAAAATAATATATCTAGTACAGGGATGGAGAAAGTGGTTATTTTTTTTAAAAATCCTCAAGACCTCAGTACAGAAATATTACATCGGTTTTGAGTAGATGATTGCCTTGTATTTATAAAGGGGGGAAAGAAATTTTGCTGTGGCTATTTTGGAGATAACTAATAGATTATATCCTCAAAGATAAGGTTTCTACACTTTTATACTATCAGAGTAGACGAGTCTTTTCATTTCTGGGTGCAAACTCCACACACGTTGCAGGTTCAAGGGAGGCCTCTGCCTCTATTCCAAAACGAATCTCTCATGTCATCGAGAAAAAACCAAATACCCGTCGAGTTGAGGCTTCGCACCCCTTCGTGGTCACTTTGAAGATCTGCAGAACATCTCTTTCCAAAGACTCGTTCATCCAACGAACAGCGAGGCTCTGGAACACATTGCCAAGGGAGGTGTTCCCCAAGGCATATAACCTTCATAAATTTAAGAAGAACACCAATTCCTACCTTATTTCCCTTGATTCTCACGATGTTCTCTGAACATTACAGAATAGCCATTTTCGTGGGAACCAGAGAACATAAAAAAAACTCAATAGACAGAAACAGACCAAACTATTGTCTCGCCTGATTGCTAGCCTTGAATGAGGCAGACTCGACTATGATAGACAGTTTTTCTGTCCTTGGTATATAAATTACTATTTCCATGTTTCAATTTTCGAGATGATATCTCTCATAAATTTTAAGAATTAGGATAAATAAAATATTTTGGGGAATTTCGTTAGACCAAAGTATATTGCTGATGTATTCGAAGGATGCATATATTTTGTATATATATACGAAATATATTCTTTCTTGGAATTTGTAGTATCCAATTTGATATGATTCGAAATGCAAATTATTTTTGAACAATTTTAAGATTGATGAATTCTTCGACAACTTCAATGTCTCATTGCGTACCGACCTATAATATTGATTAGTATTATTTTCAGTGACTATTCGATTCCCAGAGCGAAAATACCATCCACTAACAGTACTCTGGAGAGGTCACAAAATGAAAATATCTACACGAATAATTCAATGGGAACTTCGTGGCAAAATCCAGCTATATTGAACCAACCTAATAACAGATTTTATTGAATATGGAGTGAATGTGAAACAATTGTGCTCCATTTCCAATGTACAGGGTGACCCTTTGTTATGAATGTTCGAAAAAAAATCTGAATTTTTGTGATAAATCGAGTATTCAAGAAAACTGGCACAATCAATTTTCTTTCTGGTTTCGTTATTTTCATCACAATTTTGATTTATTTTCTTGGCGTCTTTCTAATGCTAAACAGAGTTCTCTTGGATCAAATTAAATTTTTTGCTCTATTTTCTAAGCCATTCTTGGTAATCACACATCAACAAGATTGTGATAATTTCAATAATTCCATTGTGAAATTGAAACATTATGAAACCATAAGAAAAATTGGAAAATTTTATGCCCACCCGAAAGAAATAAACGAATTTATTTGTTACCAATTTATGTTACCCTCCTTACATGTACATCACAATGCGAATCATATCAATACATTCAATTTTAATATACATTTTCTAGAAAAAATTGGACAAAGAAGTTAATTATCGAAATGTATCAATAAAAACGTTATGGAGATCAATATTTTATTTTTATAATCTACGTCACCGCAATTCTGTCGAAAAAAATCATATATTAAAAAACAGATCGAATCGTGATTCTATTCTAGATTGTGACCTAAAGTATATGATGAATTGTAGCCAAGAGATAAAAAAAAATACTTGACTTGCTGACCCGGCAAACGTTGTTTTGCCATAAACATTATTTCTAGAAAATATATTTTTAGTTAAATATTTATCAACACACTTTTATTATTCTATTTTCTACTTTTTTTTTATTTTGGTTATATATATAAAAGCGTGTTTCTTCAGTTTTTCAAACTATTCTATTCATTATCTACTTCTTATTGGTTCGGAAATCTATCTCTTCATTTTTTTAAATTACTCTTCATTTTCTACTTCTTGTCAGTTTGGCTATACAGGGTGTCTGTAAAAGGTCTTTACAAAACCTTACCACATATTCCTTAGACCAAAATAAATCGATTTGAATAAATTTACCTCAGTACAAAGTTGCATCGTTTGGGCTCCAGAGGGCCATGAAGTTACAATTTTCAAATCGTTTTTCCCATATAAATTTAAAACGGCATATGCGATTTTGCTGAAATTTGGTGTATTGATAGAGTTTTATGTGGCAAAATAATTGTTTTAAATTTTTGTCCGATATTAATCCATAGGCGAAGAACTTGATTTTTTTTAATAATTGCACCTTAAACAATTCTACGCCTATGGAATAGGAGGAGTTTGAGTATGAAATTTAGATTGCGCAACTCATTTACATTAAAAAAGGTAGGTACTCTTGATAAGACTCGATTACTCTCATGGTTTTCGCTTAATTTCTGTTTTAATAATTTAAAGTGTATAGGTTTCACAAAAATATTTATTTACAACATAATCAAAATAAATAGAGATTTTACAAAAATTGTTCAAAATTTTCACCATTTTCATGCATACAAAGATTTAAACGTCGAAGAAAATTAATAATAAGGCGTAGAACTTGATTTTTTAAATAATTGCACCTTTAAAATTTCTACGCCAATGGCAGAAAAGGGGTTTGGGTATGAAATTTGGATTGGGTACTCATTCACTACAAAAAAGTACCCTTGATAACACTCGATATACTTTCATGGTTTTGACAAAGTTTGTATTTTAATAATTATTATGTTCTAAAATTACTAAAATGCACATTTCGTCAAAACCATGAGAGCAATCGAGTCTTATCAAGAGTACCTTTTTTTAAAGTAAATATGTTGCGCAATCTAAATTTCATACTCAAACTCCTTTTTTTCAATTGGCGTAGAATTTCTGAAGGTGCAAATATTATCGGACAAAATTTCAACACCATTTTTTTTTGCCACATAAAACTCTATCAATATACCAAATTTCAGCAAAATCGCATATGCCGTTTCAAATTTATATGGGAAAAACGATTTAAAAATTGTAACTTCAAGGCCCTCTGGAGCCCAAACGATGCAACTTTGTACTGACTTATTTTGGTCTAAGGAATATGTGGTATGTTTTTGTAAAGACTTTTTACAGACACCCTGTATAACAATAAAATCGTGTTTCATTAGTTTTTCAACCTACGTTCTATTACAATAGCTAACCAGGCGAACGTTGTTTTGCTATATACATTTATTTCTAGAAAATATTTGTTTAGTTGAATATTCATCAACTTCTTTTTAGTTTGGGTATCAATTAGAACGTGTTTCTCTAGTTTTTTGAACTACTATTCATTTTCTTCTTCTCCCAGATACAAATTTTGAAAAAAAAAGGATCATAAGTACGAAACTCGTCCGCCATATTAGATCCACTATCTTTAATTTTCTAGTTTTGAGGAAAGAATCATAATCTCCGGCCTAGAAAATCCCCAGATACATATTTTGATCATGATCATAATTACAAAAATCACATTTTGAAGAAAGAATCATAATTTCCGACCCCAAAAACTGAATTGAATCGGATAATAAAAACAAAACTCGCTCGCCATATTGGATCTGCCGGTATCAGCAGCAAACAAAATATCTTTCTGCTGCTATGTGAATACACTGGCATTAAATAGCAGATATCAGTTGAGGCAAAAAAATTACTTTGACTTTTTTATGAGGCATCTGAAAATCAAGGTCAAACAAACATTTTCACCAGTTGTTACTTTGGGAATAAATCAAAATTTAGATTATTTGATTTCATGCAACCCTCGAATGTACTAGAATGTACAAGATATAGGCAGATATAGATCAAGACGTTGACCTATGTCAGGAATATGTCGAAAAAATATTGTTCCTCCCTTTGGCAGTCCCCGCAGGGGACTCGTTCATCCCACGAACAGCGAGGCTCTGGAACACATTGCCAAGGGAGGTGATCCCCGAGGCATATGACCTCCAGAAATTTAAGAAGAACACTAATTCCTACCTTATTTCCATTCGTTCTCTCGATGTTCTCTGAACATTACAGGATATTCCTTTCCGTGGGAACCAGAATATATTTAAAAAAAAAACTGCGTAGATGGCATAGTCCTCGAACATTAAAATACAGATATCGCATCTTGAACATATGAGGAAAGCTGTAGTAGATACATTGGTTCATTTCTAGTGAATATTTTCACAACACGGATTGAAACGTTGCTGAAACAGACTAGTATTTTTCAAAATAAATGGATCCATTTATCCATCAATTTAAAATATGCTTAACTATTTCAGAATAAAAAAGAACTATGATGTGTTTATTATTAGAAAATCCAGAAAAGTGGTATAGGTGAAGCACAAATAGAGTTCCCTGTATTATCGATAATACAAAATTGTTTTTTTTGTGATTTGTGAGATTAAAACAAATTTTCCCACAAACTGCAGCCATCGCATAATATTTCAATATCAGGTCGAGTTTATCCATATTATTTTCATTATCAATATTATCATCATTCATATCAACATCAGGACTCACTCGAGATAGTCATCATTTTCCTATATATTCAATGAAGTGTATTTTCTAGTCATATGGTCTCCAATTCACTATCCAATGATTTTTTCTCAATATATTAGATAGATAACATAATACAAATTGAATGTGATAGAATAGTAGGTGAATAATAGTAGAGCAGTGCCATATTATTCAGAGATGGAGGATCAAAATGAAAATAGAAATTCTGATGTCGATTGGAGTATTTTCAAGTAAGTAAATATAATTTGTATATTTAAGTACCAGATCACCTTAGTAAGCATACCAATCCCAGCGAGCACAAAAACATCTCAGAGATGTTAAAAGTACGAGATTTCGAGACATTGAACCTCCACTGCGATGTTCTGTTCACACATGAATAGAACTATTATAGAACAGCCAATGTCCGCCGCAGGCGGCAATTATCGAGATGTCCCTGATATATCACAAAACTACCTTCTCCCTAGTTCTTTTTGAAGCCTTTTCATGGACACAACAAAACATTTTCAACGCGTCTTGCGCACATTAAATCGCTGTAAAAAACCATGTTCGAGTTACTTTTCTGAAGCCTTTTGTCGAAATGAACTTTTGCATTAGGATTCCATTTTCCTTGAATGAAAAAATGCATTAAAAATAGATTGAACATAAAAATATTTTTTTGATATGAAATTACCTTCTTAATCGGTTTCTAAGTAGTGCTCTCTACACACAGACATATAATTGGAAATAGGTTTCCCAATTTTTGAAATGTTCTCCACAATGCATAATTTTGCAACTGCGGAGAAGCTGTGTATTGATAAATTCGTACTTTTATATATTGATTAGGTACACTGAGGCACCGAACAACACATATTGCATCTGATATGGTCATTATTACAAACTAAATAAGTCTTCTAACACAATAAACTTTACCAAATTCCTTTCTGTTCGTTAGCAGCGTGGTGTAAGCGTGACACGCTGCAAACGCGAATGCCAATTGCGACAAGAAGAACAAAATCGAAAACGAATCAGAATTCATCGTATTGTGACGTAAGCATGAGACGGATAAGTGACACAAAAAAAGATTTTTCAGAAAAAATTATGTTCTTTTATGTGTGACTCATTGTGAATAGTCTTGACCACATCTCATTTATCCACGAGGTAACATGAAAAAACAATTTTAATTTAATTTTTTTCGAAAAAATGACATTTGAAATAATGATTGCACTTGTTTCGACCTGTTGAACTTGAATATGTAAAAATATACAGGGTGTTTCATTTGAAAAAACAAAGTTGCTGGCATTTCCAGAAATACCGGAAGTCCGCCATATTGGATTGTAATGTGATCGAATCCGAAATAATTGCTTATATAACTGTACCGAATTTCAGAAAAATCCGATGACGAAAGCAGAAGTTACAGGGGTGGCCCGATACCCTGTGTCACCCGGTATTTTGGAATACGACGTTATCAATGTTGACCAGTTTTTATGAACTTTATTTGCTAGAATATCACAAGGAATCAATCCTTGAATTTCTTCGCTGCTATTTAGATACACCCTCTATAATTAAAATTGACCTGTCTCGTAAAATATTTGTGCACTTTTGATTTGAATCTGAAACTCATGTTGAACTTACTTCTCACAGAAACTTAGCAATTTCAAGTATTACTAGGAAACAAGAGGATCCTTCTCTTTCGTTGCCACTGGCGCCTCCACCAGAAGATGAAACATACACAAAACGTAACAGAAGAGGAACAGCTATCATATTCAATCATAAAAATTTCACTATTGAAGATTGCAGTGCGAGACAAGGAACAGATAAAGACAGAGATGATCTAAGGAGTCTACTGGAAGAATTGAAATTCGACGTGATATCACATGACGATTTGACTTTTATGCAAATCATAGAAGTTCTGGAAGTAGGTAAATTAACATAATTAGTGCAGAAAGTGAATGACAGATTCTGGGGGAATTTTGTGGATCGATTTTCAACTGATGCAAGACATACTGTTTGGGCTTGCCAAACCTCTTCAGTTGCACTAGACCAGCTGATAATGTAGATAGTGATAACGTTTTGCCACGATCGTAGGAAAATTGTGTTTGAATGTTGTGTTGTTATCAACATTTTGGATTCTGAGACCATAAATCTAGGTATCTACTTACCAAATTATCAAAAATCGATTTCTGCTGAGATTTCTGTCATTAATGAATTGATTTCAAGATGCAGAGATTCTATTGGAGGCTATCACTTATTTCAGTTTCTGAGCGTACCTATATGTATGATGCGAATAATTTTTTAATATTGTGCTAAATTTTTAGTTTCAAAAATGGACCATTCTGAATCCGAATGTCTATTCATAGCAGTTATGTCACATGGAGATAAAGGGATCCTTTTCGCAAAAGATCGGGAGTACCCAACAAAGAGATTATGGACGTTTTTTTCTCCAATTCATTGTCCCAGTTTGGCTGGAAAGCCGAAATTATTTTTCATTCAGGTAATAATTGTACCTATGTACATCTCTATAATACCTAAACAATGTAAAAACGTTCCTAGGAAATGAAAAAAACTGTAGTCAGTTTCGGGATCGGGATCCCACGAGAATCATCCTGGAACATTTTTTGACACTCTGTATCTCCGATCTCAATAGTATTTCTAACATCCTTTTTTGATCACCCTGTATATAGTAGCTATATACAAGCCATACAGTAGATTCATGAATCAATGAGCCTATTATTCTGGTCCATTAACAAGGTATGTTTGATGCAAATGTATGGAATAAATTCATTTCAAAACAAGACGACTTCCGAAAAAAATCCAAAAACTAGACTTCAGAACTTTATTAATTGATTTATTTTTTCAAATAGACGACCCTTCGTTGTTCAATTCTCAGTAGTAGACCTCTGCAAGATTCAGTTAATCAAATGATAATCCATTTTAATTTCAATTTTCTTATGCAAAATGTTGACTGTTAAATAGACGATCAGTAGGCCTTTCAAACGAGGTGTCACATGACCCCTGTTTTCATTTGAAAAAATCGTTCATTACGTCATTACTCCAACACCGGTGACGTAACATCTCTCATATGGATATCATGAGATGAGGCTTCAAAAATGAAAACTCACGTGTTTTTGGAATTTTTCCAAATGTCACCCATTTCTGAAATAATGAATTTATTCCATACATTTGCATCATACTGTAGTTATTTTGAACAACCATAAAATAAATTGACATTTCTGCATCTCTATTGATGCGTAAATATATACTTCCTTTCACTGCCAAAATAATCCAAAAAATGAACATGAAATATTACTTTATGAAGTATTCATTTCATTATTCATCATTTAACATTTTCAATTATTGGAGTAATCGATAGTAAAGTTTGAACAATTATACTGCCAACATAAATTCCCGAAGATGTTCATATCAGAAACGTTAGATAAGTATTACTTGAAGTGTTGATTCCACAAGTTTTATTCATTATTTTATTTGGAAGAAGATGAACAACTCAATATCTTGTTAGAAATCTCAATTTTTGTAAATTCACATTCACAGTTGTACAAAAAATGTTGTCTTCATGGCACACTCTCATGTGTCATTACAAAACACTAATTTGACGAACTTGAAACAAAAATAACTATTCCCTAATATGTGCGCGAAATGTTATTTTTCCGCACGCAAATACTCAAAAACAGTTGGACAAAACTTTTGACAAGTATTTGTCTGCGGAAAAGGTACTTCATAATAATGAGATTAAAAAATATTTATTTTTTTTGTTTCTCGTATTTTTGTTGAGATTTAGCATCAGTCTCTTGGGTGCAATCTGGTATAGCTCATCACCGCTCAATTTGAGGTCGTTTAAACTTTTTTGTATTATGATCGCTCGTTGGAAACATCAGTACTTCGTCCATTATATTTTTCCTTTTTCTATTTTAGGCATGCAGAGGTAACGATACCGATCCAGGAGTTCGTGTATGTTATACTGAGAGAGATTCTTTCAACGAAAATAATAAAACATACTCCATTCCAGTAATGGCTGATATTCTGGTTATGTATGCAACAGTAGAAGGTTAATATTCTTTCAGGAAAAATACTTTTTTCTAGAAACGTCAAAAAATTACAAGGTTCGCGCATTGATAACAAATTGCGAAGTTATACTTTTCTTCAGTTTCCTACGTTACCATGATACCTTGCACAAAACAATGCGCGAAGTAAAACAGTGCGCGAAGTACCTACTACTTCGCGCATTGTTATGTAAAATATATGAGATATTTATATTTCAACTTTATGGTCCTCAATCGAGCAAACATCCACGAAATCATTTGTTCCTGGATGTTCAACAATAACTTTGTTTTATCTCTTGGAGCGCACGAAAGGAAATTCCTATTATGTTCGTGGAACATCGTGCGTATCTAGGGAGGATAGGAGGAGGCCTTTGAAGCCAGTTCAACACTACTTTTTATATCAAGCTAAGCATATTTTTACTTTAGAACTTAATTTATTGACGTTTGTAGAAAAAATTTTGTTTGCAACTCGAGCGCGAAATACTTTGGTCATCTCGACTATTTTTTTAACTCGGCTACGCCTCGTTAAAATAATTAGATCTCCAAGAAAGCAAGCTGAAGCCAATGTATTTTACCTCGAGAGGAAATATTTCTTTTTCTCTCGTGAGAATAAATTGGCAGGTTTGTGTCCTTAAATGGGGGAACAAACGCTTACTTTTGATGCAGTGAGTAGATAAACATAATTATTATGATTTTTCCAGGCTACTTCGCTTGGAGAGATCCACGCAACGGGAGCTATTTCATCCAGTCTCTAGTCAGTCAGATCAGGAAACACAGACAATCGAAAGACCTGCTGTCTATTTTGACTTGCGTTAATCGAGAAGTGGCCATTGGTTTCACCTCAGCTGAACCACGTTGCTCTCAATTAGATGGGAAGAAGGAGATGTGTTCTATTGTCTCCATGTTGACAAGATCGTATTATCTTGATGATAATGAGGAAAATCAACTATAGGAACATTATTTTCAGAGCATTCAATTCACTCAGGATATCAGATCAGTTTCCATTGCGTATTCGAAGTTTTGATAATAATAATAATAACTGCTTTATCAATGATTATGTTACGTTGCAAAGGTTCATTCCTTATCATGCATTATATTCAATTATTCCAATTGATTTGGTAGAATGAACAAAAATTTCAAATTGTGATGTCTCAATAAAAAAACAATCATCCTGGATGGCTTCAATTTCATAATTTCCATAATATATGTACATACATACATACACACTACACTATTTTAGCACTAACCCTCAAACCCTCCTCAGTAGCCCGAAGTCCAGTTATCTCTCATCCCTTCTTCATGATATACACAATTTTCATCACTCTATAAAAATAAAACTATAACTAAACTGATATCTGATGAACATCAGTCTGTTATACATCCAAAAACTGGATATAATGATACGAAACAGGAATGGGAAACTCATAACCGGTCGCTGGTTACTTGTCTGGTTTTCTCTGCTGTGCTATTTTTCTGTTGGGCTAAAATGTTTTATTTATCACACGGTTTTTCTTCGATCTACAACATATTTGTTAATAATAATAATATTAATGATAATAATAATAATAATAACAGCCACAGAGCCAGTCATCATAAGGAGAGGAGTATTTCAAGTGGACTCCCTTAGCCCTCTCGTATTCTGCATCTCACTTCTGCCACTATTTGTGGAGCCCAGGAAAACCAGAGGATACAACTGCGGCCCACCCAGTTACCGGAGGCATAAGGTCATCCACTTATTCTATATGGATGACCTCAAACTTAATGCCTCTTTGTGAAAGGGATATCGACCAATCCCTAAGGGTGGTGCAGGAGTAAACTCAGACAATTAGAATGGAATTCGAAATGGACAAATGTCCACTGGTTCATCTGAAGAGAGGACGATGCGACAACTACGACAAGGTCGCGCAGCTCCTGGACGAAAGCACCCTACACCGCCTGGATGCCGGAGACGTACATCTACCTGGGTGTAGAGGAAACTCATATCCAGGAGGCACAACGGGTAAAAGACGCTCTCCGCAGCAAGTATCGGCAGCTGCTTCGACAGATCTGGTCATCAGAACTGTCGGGAAAGAACAAACTCGCTGCTACTAACATGCTTGCTGTTCCCATCATACTTTACTCATTTGGAGTGATAAAGTGGACTCAAGTCGAGCTGCGATAACTCGACTTAAGTACTCGCAAGATGATGCATCTCCATAGGAGTCTGCATCCAAATTCGTCCGTTCCACGGTTATACATACCTAGAGACTCGGGTGGCCGTGGACTCTTGAGCTTGGAGTATCTTCATAACAGAATGATTCTGGATGGTGCCTGCAAAGCCATCAGGAGTTCGAATCCCCTCCTGCAAATGGTTGAAACCCATGAAGAGCTAGGAGTATGAGCTTTTCTTTTTACGGCAGAACGTATGGATAAGCCCATGCATTCGGTCTACTACCTATTGAACACGGGGGCCTATCCAAAGAACTGACTTTTGCTTTTCTCAAGTCAGGTGGGCTCAAATCGGAAACTGAGGAGTTCATCAAGGCATTCCAGGATGGGGTTTTTAACACTCTCGTCTACAACGTAACCGTATCATGGAGGTCCCTGGCACAGATTGCAGGGCCTGCCGCAGGGCGCCTGAGACAATTATGCACCTGCTGTCTTCTTGCACGGTGTATGCAGTCTCGGCCTATATCCATAGACACAAATGCGGCATTGCGAGTGCTCTAATACCAATTACCATCTGAGTCACTCGTACGGAATAGACGAGACCCCAGTGCTGCCCTATGATCCGTTGTGGAGAATTAGAGGTGCCGAATTTATTGGAACTAATCATTCCCCACCCTCAGGCAAATACAAGCTAACAAGCCTGATGTAGTCCTCCTCGACCATCAACCCAAAGCGATGTTGAATATGAATAGTTAGTGGATTAGACGTCCTATCTTGCCTCCTGATATCATTTTACGGAAATGTGGGTGGTTCCATGGCTGTTGGTGAGCAGTGTATGTAACTGGAGATGACACGACTTGGATTTAGTGTGTATTCTCATTAATAATACTTCATTTCCACGTCGACAAATAACATTGTATGGGAATTGTCAATATAATATAAATCAGTAGAAGAAAATGAAGGAAGAGTTAAATAGAGAAGAGAAAATAGTGATAGAATGAAATCGGTGATACCTAAAACTAATCTTATTCTAAAAATTCTGAAATTGTATGAAAACATGCTTCCAATAAATAGTCTTTCAACATCTTTATGAATATAATTATGTGTTTCACAGACCTCAAATCTTCAGGATGTTTATTGAATATTTTAGGTCCAATGCAGTCCGGGGCAGATGAACTAACTTTACACCTTGCTAAAGACAAATGAAAGTGATTCTTAATCCTTGTGTTATGGTTATGTAGATTCTGATTCATTGTAAAAGTTAATCTATTTTTGAAAACATATCATATACGTATTAATAACCAATACGGATAATCTCTATCTGTTTCCATAGCGAAACATGTAGCCGATTTTTGAAGACAAATGACTATCCATAAGGAAAAGTTTTGAAACGATCAGACACATACTGCTTTGATTGAAAGGCTAGTAAACGTCATTGTCCACCGAAACGCATGTTTTGATGACTACTATAATAGCACATGGCGCATGCTTATCATGCCACCAAATCCTTATGGATATTCATTTGTTTCATATTTTTGGCTTCATCCTGGCACCCGTTATGATCCGTATTGTTTATTAATACGTATATGAAACATATACACATAATTCAAAGATATAAGTAAAGAGATGTCAATGTCAAAACTTTATATTCCTTGAAGAGACTTCTACATGATTCTCTAGCTGAAACATTTGCTATGCACCGTATTATTCGCTTCTGGGCAATGAACACTTCCATTGTAGCAGTTGATCCACCCCAGAAACTGACACCATACCTCAATCTAGATTCTACTTGAGCAAAATATATGTTAAGTAATTGATTCTTACTGAAAACTGATCGGAGATTGATGAAAAGGAACTTCAGAGAGTTGAGCTTAAAAGTTAATTGCTGACAATGAGCCTTCCAGTTGAGGAACTCATCAAGAAAAATACCCAAGAATCTCATACTCTGATTAGTGTTCCTTATTGACAGTGAAACTAATATCTTCTATTTTGTTTTGAATATTGTGAATACGAACAATCTCGGTTTTGTCGACATTGAAAAATAAATCATGGTTGTTGAGGAAATCTGATACCTGACTTACTGAGCCAGCACATTTATTTTCTAATATTTTGGAATCACAGGCAGAAATCACAAATGAAAAATTATCGGCGTATGCAGTATAATGACTATCTGTTATAATACTGTCTATACGGCAAAATCATAGCTGTACCACTGCTCTTCTGACGGTGGTAGATGACATTCTGTCGGCAGCAGATAAAAATCTACTAACGGTGCTTGTCCTCATTGACTATAGTAAAGCCTTCGACAGAATCAACCATCGATTACTGCTTGCAACATTGCAACATATAGGGTTTGATGAGAACGCAATAGCAATGATGAAGAATTACCTCTTCGAAAGGAGCCAAACAGTTAAGTTGAAGAATAATGTATCTGAGCCTAAAGCAATTACAAGTGGTGTTCCCCAGGGATCTATCTTAGGTCCACTTTTATTTTCAATCTATACATCATCATTTCGAGAATGTTTGATCAATTGTGAGAGTCATTTTTATGCAGATGATACTCAGAAGATATCCTTCTTCTTTTCTCCTGCCAATATTCTAGAGAGTAATAATCTAATAAATGATGATCTACGAGCACTGTGCCAAATGTCTCAAAAGTACTGCTTGGAAATAAATCCTACGAAGTCTCAAGTGATGCTATTTGGCCGAAAATGTGCTAGGGTGAAATACAACCATCTTGTTGACATTGAGATAAACACCGAATCTTTAAGTCTAGTGTTTTGTGGTAAGAACTTAGATTTATACCTGGATGACAATTTGAGATTTTAAATACATGTCAATCGAATAATTAAAAGATCTTTTTGTAATATGAGACTCATTTACAATAATAGACATATACTTGACCACAGAACAAAGAAAGTTTTATGTGAATCCTTAATGTTTTCGCATATGAACTTCTGTGACGCGATATATGGTCCATGTATAACTGAATATAGTAGTCAATATTTGCAACGAATTCAAAATGCATGTGTTAGATTGGTTTATAATTTGAGGCGACGTCATAGAGTACCCAACAAAAGAGCAGAATTGAAGTGGTTGACTGTTCGGCAAAGGCGATTTCTAAATAGTAGTTTATTGTATTTGAAAGTCATTAAACATAAGACACCAGCCAATCTATATAAAAAATTGAGATTTTGGAGTGATATTCATAACCTGAATATCAGGAGGAAGGATATTCTAACAATTCCCCCACATTCAACGTCTCTCTTCAGAAGCTCATTCTCCTACAACGCATGCAAAGTTTTGAATATGATTTCTTTGGATATTTTAAAATATGTCGTTGACAAATATTAAATCTACATTGAAATCAAAATTACTATCACCCTATCAGTCATGGATGTGATCCTCATCTTCGCTCCTCAATATTTTCATTAATATGAGTATGCCTGATTCAAGTGAACCAAACAAATTTCCATATTTTTTCTGTTTTTGTTTTGAATTTATATAATTTTTGCTAAATTGAGTTGACCAAACAATATTTATTTTTGTATTAAAAGTTGATTTGTTTCCACAGGCTGTATTGAAAATCAATCTAACATGTCTCTGAGACATGTTAGATTGCATGAATACAAGCCTTTTCGATAAGTGGTAGGATATACATGTATGTACTTGCTTGCTTATTGAATGAATATATTATTATTATTATACAACTACTAACATATAAAATGAGCAGAACAGGACCCAATATAGAGCCCTGTGGTACTCCCATGTTTATGCTCAACGGCATTATATCTTCTGCTCCTGCGAATTTCAGAATCCGAAGTAAACAATTACGAAAGATACAGGGGTGTTTCCATTGGAAGTGAGACACACTGTATATATACATATACCACTGCATGAGTTCATCAATAATTTTGTGAGAGTATTCTCTTTCCGAATACTTACTCACCTGATTAGATGAAACATTATCCATTGAAGATTTTTATCTGATATATTTGCGCAACTTTTATTGTTCTTTATCATCTTATCATATAATAAAACAAAACATTGAGCACCACTAGGACGATCTAGTAGTGTGAGATATCAGAGATAAGTAATGCAGTGAATCAGTTTGAATAAATGGCTCACTCTGATGGAATTCAAATCGTTGCGATCCAGAAAATCTCAGTCAAAAATGTGATTCTCGCAGCTTCTGCCATAGGAACTGTACGTATGTATATCTACTGTTACTGTTTTTTTTTGCAGCATCATAAAAGATGTATCAACATCAGATACCAACTTATTGGTCAGGCATCTATCTTAGGTATTGGTACACCCATTTTTCATTGACTTAATAGAGTTTCCGATTTATTATATAGGTAAACAAGGTAAAAATTTCTAATATAAATAAATGATCTTCCCTGGATAGATTTTCTTGTGAGATTCACAGGTTTTGCAGATGACAGCACTATTAACGATACTTAACAAAATCTATGATGAAGTAGTAGACCTAGACATTCTCCAATGTGTTTTCATTCTTGAAGGTCTAAGTCTAAGCTAAGGTAAAAACCCTACATCTTCATGAGACTCAACAGAAGAATCATAATCATAATGTGAGAAACCAAAATCATCAATCAGATACAAAATATGTATACCCGCAATATCAATATTTAGAAATGTACTACCTGACAATTTTAATAAATTGAGGTATATAAAATCTATTGGGGATCAAAAAGAGTCTACTGCGAGAAGCGTTTTTTTTTTATTTAAATAATTTATAAACTGTAAATGTATGTCCTTTCCTTGAAGACTTCGATTCATTTGTTTGTCCGCATTGTAACTAGTATAAATGTGACCCTTCTTTTATGTATGATATATGACCTGTGTAAAACCTACATTCATAATATGATAACACCAATAAACGATTGATTGATTAAAATCACCCTGATGAGAACAAGTGATAAATATTTTCATGAAAAATGTTTTGAATGAAAATGTGTGAATCTTCCTACTTTCATATGGAGGAACATTCTTTATACAGGGTGAGTAACACTCAATATTCCTTCAAGTGATGACATATTATGAGAATTTTGCGAAACACGTCGATTTATATATCAAGGGCGACAACTTCTGAGGTATTCGTTGTCACATTACATTGAACCCCTTCACCGTCAGGTTAACTACCCCTAAAATTATAACCCCTGACTATTTTGCTTCTTTTGAAATTCTTATGTGATTCCAAAGAAGTTACATCTATTCAAAACTCTTCGTCTTCAAAATTGCAGTACTCAACCTCACCAATTTTTGGATTGTAATTTATTATGAAGATAAAAAAATTATATTAATGGTATGTCACGACGAGATTACATTATCTTTAAATCGAGAATCAGTCCGCAGAAATCCATGAAAATGTGCTTGCTTATATTTTACAATACGCTCTCCTCATTTGAAATATTTTCGACAATGCAGTGTTGCTGCTTCTACTAGAAAGTAGTAACAACATTGATATTTCAGAACACCCTGCGATGTAAGGTATGTTCATGCTTGTACGAATTCCGCAAAATTTATGCGAATCGCAAAATATGAAATTTTCGACAGAATTTGACGTTCATACTCATGCGACAAAATATGCAGGAGATAAGGGTTCTGTTGTGATATTAATTTCTTTATTTCTGGTCCCACCAGTGATAGAAGTTGATCAAATTGAAGGCACATTACACGAAAGTAATAGTTATTTGTTTAACTAGGCAGCAAAGTAGTAGGTTGACTGCCGTGGCTGAATTCATAGCCGAGCGTAGCGAGGCTAGGAATCCAGCTAAGGCAGTCAATCTACTTTGCTGCCGAGTTGAACATATAATTTTTTCTCCGATTGTTCATAATGATATGGGAGAATATTGTATTTGCGATTCAATACAATTCCCACAATCTCTTTATTCTTCCTGTATAGTGTTCAATTAAAATAAAATTTGATAGAAATCGCAGTTGTTGGTTTGACAATTCATGAAATTTCTGACAGTTGTACGAAAAAATATCGGTATATTCAAATTATTATATAATCGACAGTGATAGCGACCTGGAAGTATACTTATACACCTCCATTAATAAGGGAGGTGGCAAAAAATATAGAGTTGAATTTGTTGCCGGAGAAGTCTTGGATGGAATATGAAGGAAATTATAAACGATTTATGGATTTTTAATTTTGCTGATACATATCAATCAGCAAAGTAACCACGACTTTGCTGCCTAGGCAGGAAAAGTAATACTTTGCTGATCGATATGTGTCAGCAAAATTAATATTTGCTGCCAATCGGAGGAAAAAATATTTATTAGGGTCATTCAGTCGCCTTTATCGAACGAGTCTGTACTAATCTCCATTAATTTTTCGGCATTTGAAAATGCCTCGAACAATACTGCTCCTGTTTATGCTTCTGGATACATCATTAGTTCTATAGAGAAGATACAGATGATACTTTAAAATTAATTCGTCCAGAGAATTCATCCTGTGAAGAAAATTTAATAAAATGAAGAAATGATGAAATTTTCAATTATCATTCTGTACTTACCTGTATTCTATTGTCTAGCCTCGTCTTTTTTCGACCTCTGCAGTCCTCTCTCTAATTACCCAATTTTGATGTTATCAAAATAACAATACATTTTATGTGGTTATAATTCCATCCGAATTCGCAAAAAAGTTCAAATATTTCAACTTCATTGCGATATTCGCAGTCGCCATTTTATTCGCATAAATTTTGCGGAATTCGTACAAGCATGAACATACCTGTATTCCATCGTATTTTCAGATTCTCCCTGGAGATCTGATTTTATCGATATATCACACTCGGGGTCTATTCAAAAAAATTTCAGAGATATAGGGTGTTCAAAATAAAGATTTCTCTAATTTAGGATATTTTTGTGTCGAAACTATTCACGGTCAAAACGGCTCACATATCCCTATCTCAACTCTTGATTCACAATTTACTGATATTTAATCGAAACAGATTGAGGGTAGTTCAAGATTCAGAGAATTCTGATCACCCTGAATGTGAGCCGTTTTGGCTGATACTGAATAGTTTCGACACAAACAGATCCTAAAGTTGAAAAATCTCGGTTTTGAACACCCTATATCTCTGAAATCATTCCTGATAGACCTCAAGTGTGATGTATCGATGAAATTAGCTCTTAATGGAGAATCTAAAAATGCAATAAAATACAGTTGCTACTTTTTGATAAAAGCGGCAATACTGCATTGCTGAAAATCTTTTTAATGAAGAGAGCGTGCATATTTTCATGGATTTCTCCCGACTGATTCTCGATATAGAGATAGTATAAGCTCGTCGTGACATACTATGTCCATTGTCTGCCAAATATGGAGACAGAATCTAGTGAGCTGGAACTAGATTTTTTCTCCATATTTAGCAGACAATGGATTTTTCATTGTGAATACCTCTTCACCTCTTAAGAACGGTAGAAATACATCATGACTGCAGAAAGGAATATCATTGATGGAATCAAAGATATCATATAGTACTCGGTAAATATTTTGAAATAGGAGTAGACTATCATATTTGCTGTCAAATAATGCCATCACAAATAACTTATTTTGGGCTCGATCATATCATGCTGCATCTCAGAAATATCAACAGAACTGTAATATTAGATAACGAACAATCACAACTAAAACAAAAATGTCCTGAATTATACAGGAATGCTTATTTTAAGTTACCTATACGCCGGTCGATAAAGTAGTCCATGGGCGGTAAAGTGCCAAGGATAGGGGCCGTAGTAGTAGTAGTAGTATTGTGGGGAGGCTGTAGCCAGGCAAGTAGGCCCGCATGGGCCCTTTTTGCCAACCCCTGCTCTCCACATATCTACACATCCCTCTTTTAGTTGTCCTTTTCGAACCCTCCCGTCCTTCTGATGAAGGTCAGGATGTCCGTCCACTGTAATTCGACGAAATCTTCCTGTCCCACACTCTCCGAGGAAGTGAAGTGATGTCTCCTCATCTTCTCCGCATTCACGGCAAGTGGGACTATCTTCCACACCTATGAGTGATAGGTGTCTGCGTAACCTGTTGTGCCCTGTCAGTACCCCTATAAGAAGGCGCAGGACTTGGCGATCCCTGCCCAGTAACCAAGCCGTCTTTGGCTTGCTTGGACCGGCCACCAGGTCTCTCGATTGCCTGCAGCCGCCTATACGCCTCCAATATCCTTCTAGTGCCTCGTCCGCCCATTTGTTAAGGGCAGACTAAGTTTGGCTTCTTGTTATGCCCAGTGCAGGCTCCGGTCCCCAGAACGGTGTCGCGGATCCGATTCTAGCCAGCTCGTCGGCCACCTCGTTCCCGGGCACCCCCCTGTGATCCGGAACCCATACTAGTTCGACTTCCTTCTGTTCAGCTAGTTTCTCAAGAGCATCGCCACATTCCTGTACCAAAGCTGAGCTTGGTTTAGGATGGCAGATAGCCCTGAGAGCCGCCTGACTGTAAGAGCAGATGTAAATCTTCTGCTCTGGTCCCTCTTTCACCTCTTGCCTCTCCGCTACTGCCAGAATGGCAAAGACCTCAGCCTGGAAAAGGGTGGTATACTTTCCAAGAGCGTATAGCTCTCCCTTATGCCTATTCCTTCTAGGTAAATTCCTGCACCTGAGTCCTGTTTGTCAGTTAGGCGCGATCCGTCCGTATAACATACTAGACTCCCCGGGCAGAATTCCGCTCTGTTCTCTTCCCATTGTTCCCTGCTTGGAATAGTGAGGGTAAACCTTATTCTATTCCATCTCAGCCTATTTTGAGCGTTCTTTACTCTTAGGGTGGAGATAGGGATCTCCTGCGCCACCCATGTCGCAATTTCCGCGTGACCTGTCACTGCTCCTCCGTTAGCCCAACTCCCAGAGTCCCGCATCCTCAGATAGGCCGCCATAGGGGCCGTATATTTTATTTCCAATTTTTTTTTTTGTTACAGTTTCAAGCAGTTATATGGATGATATTATCTCTGATCGCAATATTGTACTACAATTCGGCGATAATAATAGGAAATGCACTCTCTCGATACGATTACGAATTGTGGATATATCATCTATATTTGGGTAAGCAAATGTTTGCTAAATTTGGGCGTAGGTCTAAATTGAGGTATTCTTTCAGGCAACGATAATGTTTTCGCCGACAGCGTGTACAGCGTGTTCAACATTCATCCAAAATCTTTCAACATCTTCATGTATTTTTATTTGATTTTGAGCTTTGCATGGCTCCTGGTATCATGTTACTTAATATGGGGTGAGTAGTCACTGACTGACAGTAACGAAATAACCAATTCCATTGCGTTTTTTAGCTATGGTACGAGAGAAATGGGACTATGTGAAGAATTTGATGGCTTCTTGGTCTGCTGTTACGTTTTCCATAGCTGCTCTTGATATTGTCTTGATGAGTTTAATTGCGGCAGATTTGGAAAAAGCACAAGATATATCCAATAGCATCATATCTCCGCCACCTTTATTAATAATGGTATATATGTATAGGGTTATCCACCTTATCTTTGATCTCCCTCCAATCACTTTATTCATACAGAATCAGAAAAAATTTCCGGCTAAAATTTCCAAGATGTCCTCGAACCAGTCGATCAGCTCAAATTTCAACAGATACAGGCGATGGATAACGAAGTATTCAACTTGACTATTTGACTTTACTTCTACAATTATCGTCCCCACTTCGTAGCTGAAACGCGAATCCGGTTTCAGCAGAAAGCAGGCTCACTGCTCAGTGATAAGTCAGTATGAAAGGATGAGATATTAGTATGTGTCCCACACAGCACATGTATGTCCAATGTATGTACGTAAAATATACGTCTACCTCGGATCGCAAGGACGTCCAATGGACTTACTTGAGTGGACGTTTAACGTCCAATAGACGTCTACTAGATGTCTTGAGGGTATCACTTTGGATGTACAATGGATGCCCAGCTTTGTACTCACAATGGATGTCAATATCCGAGCATCCATTGGACGTACCAAATTGGACGTTATATAAACGTCCAATGGACGTATAATGGATGCTAATTTTTGGAAATTGAATAATGAAAGAACAGAATTGGTAGCAATTATAGGTTCTTCTATTTATAAATATATTTATTGTTGATTGCATATATATATAAATATACAGCTCAACTCTGACTGGTTAATAAAGCCTTATCCAAGACAATTTTACATTGCTAGGCACTTCTTCTTTCAAGCCGCCCATTAAAAATAAATGATAATCTGTACGTTGATGAATCATAAAATAATAACTGATAACTATATTAGCTATATAAAGACACATTCGAACATGCATGCTTTATCACCTGCTTCATTGGGTTTAATGATCTAGTCCCAAATATTCTGTACTCCATAATTCATCACAAACACAACACATCATCATGTTCACGGTCATTAAGTAACTGATAATGGCGTCACGCCAGTCGTTACACTCGAGCTCGTCTCGTTCACTGACCTTTTTGTACACCCTTCGTGGCAGAAAAATCAATAACCTCACTTCCATCTCTGAAGTACAATGGAAGTTCATTTGACGTCCATAAACCTTAAGACTCAAAATTATTTCGTATATTTAGTTTCAACAATTCTTCATACTTCATATACTCATTAATTCTTCACCCATGAATACTTGAATTAGAATGGCCGTTCAAAGGACATTCAATGTACGTCCGTCTCTCTACGTACAAACGATGTTAATCAAACGTCCACGAGAGTTTAATCCTTGAGTTCACGTAAAATGGATGTCCAACAGACGTTTTGGAACATACATTGTCCGTCCATCTAAATGAGTACAATGAATGAACGTTTTACGTACATGAATAGTTGGACATTGAATGGACGTCCACTGGACATACAATTTCAAGCGTCCAATGATAATCTATGTATGTACGTACATTGATGGATGTCCATTCAATGTCTATGTACGTTTGGAATTGAAATGGACCTGAAATGGACGTCCAATGGATGTCATGTGCTGTGTAGGGTCTGACTTACCAGTTGATGGAACGCCTTTCCATTGCATGCGAATTACTATTTGTTGCAATAAATATAACAAATACCATTCCAAAATTTGAATCTTCTCTTCCCTTGTGAACGTGAACATTTTAGATTTTGCAAGACCGTTATGGACTTACTAATCTAATGCATCGACGTAAATATTGTGAACGAGGCAAACAGTCTGGAAGAGGGAAATAGTGGTACAGTTAAATAGGTGATCATCCATCGCTTGAACTTTGTGCTGGTCGACTGGTTGAGGAAAATATAGTTGACAATTCCACGACGTATATGAAACTGCCATCTCCTGCGATATAGGAACCAATCACAATGGTATGCTACCTCTGAAAATATATACATACCTGCTGTTGAAGGTATTTGGACACTCGAAAATAATTATGGGTTATCTATCAATCTATCAAATAATTCTCCATATAGACAGCAAAACTGCATAACCCACAACAATCCTAAACTCTAATTGGCACTGAAAGAGAATTTGCCAAAGAAATATTCTATGCTTCTACTGTCAACAATCTCCTAACTATACTGAATGACTGAATATTCGGCGATAGTGTTTCCAAATATATTATTATGGACATCATTGAATTATGTTATTTATACAATCATACGAAGTGTATTTAATGAGAGTGTGGTATCTTCTTCTCTGCACAGGTGGGCGAGTGCGTAGACCCCTGCACTCAGGCCTCTTCATTCGGGCCCATTGTGCGCCCACTTGTCCTGTGAATCAGCTGGGCATGCCGATTTCTTTGACGAAATTAAGCAGCTTCCTCAGCTGAGTCACTTTCACATCCTTTGGGTGCAGTACAATGCTCCCAAAGGCAGCTTTCCTCTGATGCACCAGCGCGGGGCATTCAGTGAGTATGTGTGATGATGTTTCATCATCCTCCAAGCACCATCTGCAGATGGGATCATCTTTGATCCCTATGAGTTCTAGGTGCCTGTTGAGGTGGTTGTGCCCAGTTAAGAGCCCAACTACCATCTTGAGATCCCTTCTATTAAGTGACAGGATCTCTCTCGTGAGCCTTTTTGAAGGTTCCTTTATATGGAGCTTTGATTGTCCCATTCCTGATGTGTCCCGCCATGTTTCAAGGAACTGCCTTTGTAGCATTTCCTTCATGAAGGACATAGCCGTACTATTGGGTATTCCCAATATCGGTGAGTGTGGTATTTTTATTCCCCCAATTTATAAATGCTAATTAGATAGTAATTCAACACTCCTGAATGCAGTACATTACACCATATAATATGTCAGTTGTTGTACTAGGGATGCAGTAATAAACTCAAAAATCATTTCACCTGGAGAATATGGTGAATTAAAGAGAAATTGGCGGTGATATTTAACAGAATAGCTAGTTGAAATTAACATATTATAGGGAACTCTAAACTGTCGGACTTGACAAATTAGTTCAGTTAAATATAACGTTTATTCCTGTTATTTTCATTCCCCAATGTCTGAAATTGTTAACCACATTTTAAAGTTCACGTTTACTATTGGACAGGTAAAGTTAACTTGTAGTCGAGGTTTTGCTACTATATGGTGCACCACCCTCTATAAATGTTAGCCAATAACCATTTATGATTCGTATTCATTTCCTTCTCTTTTTTTCTGCCATCTGAACCATCGCTGAACCTGAATCAATTTCAGGATCAAAAAAACGTCTACACATCTATGGGTATAGTGATGACAGCTGCTGCGAGAGGCTATATCTTATGGATCGTTAATGTTGTCTTCGCAATCATTTTCGTCGTACTGGTACATAGAATGAAAAAACAAGTATGTATCATTAAAAGACATGATTCAAAATCATCTAAACGGCAATTTTATTACAGGAAGAACAATCCATGTTGCCACCAATTATTGACGCCTATGCAGCAGGGTAAGTTAATATACAGGATGTTTGGTTCACCGACGTATATCTGAAAGGGGGTGATAGGCAGTGTTGCCAACTCAGATTTCCAAAAGTCACAAATTGGTCACCTGAAAGACACCAAAAAACACCAAACCGGGCAGTATTGAAAAAAAATGCGCCACAATCGAAAACTTTTGCAAATCTAGTGATCAGAACAGGTGAAAAAAGTTTTGTCTCTAACAGGCAACAAGTCGACCAAAATAAATCATTCATAGCTTCAATGAAATAGGTACTCAAGTTTATTATAATACATATAAAAACAAGAAGTAAAAAGCAACATTTGAAATCGTACGAAAACAGTCAAAATTGGACATAACCGTAAGAAACTTATTACAGTTAAAACTAGTTTTTCTATTTTCTATTCAAAGATTTTCTAGTATTACCTACATTGTTAAAATCAAAATATCATATATAAAACAAAGGACATCTCGGATGCATCCTCAACCATCAGATTTCACCATTTATTTGAAAAAATTCACCAAAATAAACACCATCGACTAGATGCCATATTTTCTCACAAAACGAGATCTCAAACCACCAGTTCTAGTGTGAAATCTACTCAGTTGGCAACACTGGTGATAGATGAGGACATTTCGAACATATTTTACCATGAATATACTATTATAGAAAGTGTTTCGAATTTTGAGATATCATTTTTTCAAACATTTCATCTGATTGTATATCTTTTTTCTTAGAGTGTTCAATATGTATTTCATCGATAATAATCACGAAATGGGATCTAATAAAAAGTTTTTATTATGACCATAGCTCCGAAAATGCAACATATTCAAGATACACAGTGTCAAACTTTTTAGAAAAATAGGTTTCCTGTGAATCTAGTGATGGCTTGATCAGTACCTTACAACTACAACGGAATTGGATCATAGATTTCTGCGATATTTATCATCAACTCTCGAAGTAGGGCTTCGCGAGACCAAGAGCTAGTCTTGGTCTTGCCTTGGTCTTGATACAAAACCAATACCAAGACCAAGACCATGATTTAATGAATCTTCCCAAGACCAAGACTTGACTCGAAAGCAAAATAATGATTTTCAATATTGAGAAAAATCTGATGGAAATGTTATGTTACGGTGTCATTGGCTCATTTTTTGGAACTATAGCACGACAATAGCCATCAACAGTGTATATGTAAGTGATATATATGGGAAAGTACTCACTTTTTTCCCGTGGAAAAAAAGTCATTTATGAAAAGTGACATTTTATAACCTATCAACAGAGAGATAAAATTTCAGAGTTATTTCCCGTCACAAAAAAATAGTAATTTTCCTAACAAGTGCGGAAAATGATTCTTTCCCGCACGCGACTGCCGTTGACACGAACAACGCGAAGCGGAGTTCGGGCAAGCAGTCGAGTGCGGGAAATACACTTTCCGCATGAGTTAGGAACAATATTTTTTCTACAAGCGTAGGAAATTGATTGATTTCAACTTTTCTCACGAGGGTGAAAGTTTGTGACACGAGCCTGAAGGGCCAGTGATATGAATATACGAGTGAGAAAAGTACTTTTCCCCACATGTTGCACACTATACTTTTTCTACAACTGCACTTATCCAAAGAATCCAAGTAATGTAATTTATTGGTATTCATGGTACTTTGCCACATTGAATATTGTAACCAGAAGAGTAGACGCCTTTCCTAGTTCCTCAAAGTATTTCAAAAAAGTAAACTTTCCGAAAAAGATTTTATTTCTGTATTTTTTTTTAGATTCCATAAATTTTTCGTATATGCCAATTCATACTTTTTTTCTTGAAATTTCCGGAAACAAATCCAATTTTCGCAGCTTTTCCATTATCTCTGACTCTGGCGGTGTATTTATCAAAATCGTCACATCTCGGTATATACATCATATTATTTATTATGAATTGTTGGAATAATATTTTATGGAAACTGCGATTTCTATCGAAAGCACTAATGAGAACAACTCTAAAGAATTTAAAAAACTTGTGACAACTATTCAAAGCTGAACACCAGCCAGTTTTGGTCGAGTTTTGTTGATTGTCCATGGGAATGTATGTGGTGTTGGCAAAGTGCCGTGAGAAAAAATATTTCTCACAGTATGAGCAATACATGGTTTTGAAACTTAGTAAGCTGTGAGAAATGCACAACTTTTCATAGCAGTAGTAGAAAAACTAATTCGTGTTTTGATTGACATGACAACAATTGTTTTCCACATCAGATTAATTAAAGGCTATAGAAGGATTTATATAACAATCAATTATTATTTTTCGATAGTTCTTCATTTTCATAGTGCAATATGATGGATGATTTCGTAAAAACTCACTTACTGCAACAAAAAACCTAAAATTTTCATATTGTGTCACCCACCACTCATATTTTGTTTTTCCCGCACTAGTGTGGGAAAAAATTTCCCGCGCTAGTGTGTGAAAAGTTTTCCTGCACTACTGCGGGAAAATGACACTTCCCAAACTAAATTATTCCGTGCGGGTATAGGGTGAATCACGCACGCTTCAATACGGTTTTTATGTTATCTTAGGCCACGCCCTCTCAACCTATACGACAGCACGGACATAGGAGCAGGCAACTGGAACATCGGTTTCCAACCGGACGAAAACATCATCTACAGACCCAGCCGAAACGGCGAATTACCTTCGGAAAACTTCGACATGTTCAGACCAGCTGAGCCTTCAGGCTCGGGAACGCCTAGGTCTGGACCCACGAGACCGGACAGTTACCCTAGGCCTCTAGAGGTTGCTCCTGCCGCCCAACGCTTGGCTAAAATAGGGAAATCTACCCCGGGACATCGATCTCCGCCTCTGAATGTGCCTGTCCCGCAAGTCCCGAACGGGCCCCAAATGCCCTACATTCCGCCTCCGGATTACACTCCTCCTGCATCGCCTAATTCCAAGCCGAGGTCGGTTTTGAGACCCAAGAGTAATTACGTATTGGAAAACAATTGATGAGGCTATTATTCGAAATTCAGTTGGTATCAAGATTTCAGGGGTTATTTGACAGGTGAAAATAAGACTTACACCCGTGAAATGGAAGAATCTAGCAAGGCCATTTGAATGAGAGCTGAGAAAACAAGGATTTTGTCAAAAATTGATGCCATAACAATATACTCGATTATGTATATGTATTGTTTATACTCATTATATTTATTTATCTAACAAGTGCGGAAAGTAGTACTTTCCCGCACGCAACGGCAGTTGCACGAACGACGCGGAGCGGAGTTCGGGCAAGTCGTCAAGGGCGGAAAAGACATTTTCCGCAAGAGTTAGGTACACAGTTCTTCCTACGAGTGTTTTTGTCCATATTATTTATGAAAAAAAAAATAGTTATTTAACCAACTAGTGTATTAATGAGGGCGATTATTGATCAAAATATTTTAGCGAGCGAGCGAGCGCGTTAATGTTCGAGATCATTAATCGCCTTTTAATATACAAGTTGGTTACAAAATTTTTCCGTCGACTATATTTCTCATTTCTCCTGCAATGAAGAAAACTTGGTTCGCGAATTCCTCATTCATCCGGAAACTGCTAAGAATCACCCAGTAGCCTCGTTACTGACATTATAGTGACATTTGACATTTGTCGAAATGATCAACATAGAAAATAAATTCCTTGTGTTATAGAAAACAGGGATTAAAATCGTGTCAGAAACTTGGAAAGGCGAACCCGTTGACGGAAAATCTTCAATGAAATCCATATTTTCGATTTAAATGCAGATTCCGCAAGTTCTAGCATAAACAATTAATGCACGCGGTGTATGTTTGGTTGCCTATAAAACAATCGTGCATTAATAGACAAATCGTTCATTAATAGGGGTCATTAATGAACGATTTCATATACATTAAACTTAGTCGTTAATACGAGGTCGACGGAAAAAGGTTTTTGATAAACAATATTTTATAATGATGCTACAAAATTACACATAAGACAGAATACTTACATGGCTCATTTAGTTAGTCCTGAATATCCTTATTATCAACAATGCAAAAATCGTGCGGTAACTTTTCAGTACTAGTGCGGTAAAGTAACTTTGCCGCACGAGATTTTCATGCACTGAAAAATAATGAAATAGATTTATTTTCATAGATTTAATAAGAAACTTATCTGAAGAATATTCAAATAACAATAACTAAAACATTAACGATGATAAATATTGAAATTGAAAGTGCAATTTGTGTTTGTTGCATACTGTAATATAGCAGCTGCCGCAAAATCTTGAAGAACGTCGTTTCTTATTTGAATTTGATTGGTTAGTGTTTGCATCAATAATTTCCGGGGGGACATCTTGAAATTTTCCTGAGTTGTCCATTTTTAATTACGGAAAAATGACGCTTGAAATGCTTATTTGTTGACTGCCACTACTGTACTGTCAGTTTATAGCGCCACATGTCTCTTGGTATTTCCCTCGAAATCGTGAGGAAAAGTAAAAATATTGCGGAAAAGTAAAATCGTACGGAGAAGTACAACTTTCAAAACGAAGAATCATGCGGAAAAGTTACTTTTCCACACGCTCGTAGGAAAATAAATGTATTGCATCTGAAGGGTCTTTCTAATAGTTCTAATAGTATTTCATAGAAGAATAACATCTGACTTGATTATCATTGTAATAATATCATCTGAAAAGTGTAAAACCTAGCAGGTTGACTTGATAATTGATCTTGATTGATTTATCACAGTATAAAAAAAAACATAGTATATAATCACACATTGTATTCGATTTATTTTAGAAAAATATAAAATACTGTATCCGTACAGTCTTTTTATTGAACGAACGTACTTAATATTCAAGTATGAAAATAAAAGGTATTCTAAAATAAACATTTTCTTCATTCAAAGAGAGACAGTGATGAGTTGAAATATTCCATCATAGATTTGGAAGAAGATCAGTGGATTGATCAGAGGTGGGGCGGTTTTCCCAATAGAGACCTTTGTCAGGCGGCATACTAAGGACTAAATCCTTCAGAATATTCTGATTTTTAGCAGTGTATATTCCTCTTATTCTGTTCTTCTGTTTCTTAGCCATCGCAAGAATTCCTTTGCGCCTTGGTTCATTCTCAACTGGTTCATTTATTTCGAGAACATACGAATCAAATGCATATTTCGTGAGACAATAATACACACCACCTGGGAAACCACAAACTTCGACAACGAACTGAGTGACTAATTATTTACCTGTTCTTGGGGTGGTGATATTTATTCGTAAGAATTGAAAATAAATAAATGATAAACATATTTAATTATTTATTATTTATTTACGAGTATATGCTCATTAAATTATATAAAAAATATAATCACGAGCAAAAAGAAATAATGAAATACATTTCAATTGAGTAATAAATATCTATAGAAGTACTGAATATAAAAATAGAAAATATGAAAGAGTAAACATTTTACATAAAATATCAAACAAAAAAATATCAATATCACAATATTACAAGAACTTTATCTAAATATCACTGTGTAACGTATTAATAGTTACATAATTAATGCCCGGTAATTTCTGTTCCAATGAAACACACTAATCGTGGTACACTATACGGATTTTATTATTACTAATATCATAGACATCTGATCATGTTGCTTGCTTGGTGGACCCGACAGAAGAGAGCTCATTTTCCTATTCATGTTACTGTCGTGACCTATCTTATGTTCTGCGCATGTGCGCCCTAAACCTCAACGTCACACACTGGAATCCGTACACCTTAACAATTTGTTTCCTTTTTGGAAGATAGCTTTCTATCCAGTTCAGAAGTGGGCCGTTCAATCCGAATTTCTCAAGTTTGAACAGAAGAAGATTGTGGTTTACCCTATCGAATGCCTTGGAAAAACATTGTATATAGAATCGACCTGCAAGCCTTGATCCAAGGCATTTGAAAGAAAATAGTTATATGTCAACAGATTCAGTTCTGTAGATTTGGGTGTCTGGAATCCGAATTGTTGATCAATCAAATATCCTTTTTCCGTCGACCTCGTATTAACGACTAAGTTTAATGTATATGAAATCGTTCATTAAAGACCCCTATTAATGAACGATTTGTCTATTAATGTACGATTGTTTTATAGGCAACCAAACATACACCGCGTGCATTCATTGTTTATGCTATAACTTACGGAATCTGCATTTAAATCGAAAATATGGATTTCATCTACGATTTTCCGTTAACGGGTTCGCCTTTCCAAGTTTCTGACTCGATTTTAGTCCCTGTTTTCTAACACAAGGAATTTATTTCCTATGTTGATCATTTCGACAAATGTCAAATGTCACTAATGTCAGTAACTGGGTGATTCTTAGCAGTTTCCGGATAGATGATGAATTTGCGAACCAAGTTTTCTTCATTGCAGGAGAAATGAGAAATATAGTCGACGGAAAAATGTTGTAACCAACTTGTATATTAATAGACGATTAATACACTAGTTGGTTAAATAATAACTATTATTGATGGTGTTATATAGTCATCGAACATCAACTTTCATACTTACACTACAGACAGTATCTCGAACATATTCCTTCTTACCATCACAATGGAAAAACAAAGCTAGTAGTTTTTTTTATGTTCTACCTTTGTGAAGAAGATGGACGAGGATAAGTTATTAGGTTTTTCCACTTTAATTCATAATTACTATATTTGTCCGGGAGTTATGATAACTTTTTTCGTAATCCCATACTGCTATTTTTATTTAACGGTATTCAGATGAAAATTGATGACTTATTGTTAACAGTCTCCGTCCGTTGAGATTGTTTAACGGCCTCGGCGGCCGTTAACTATTCCATAACAGCACGATGTATCTACGTGGTTTGTTCTCTCCTCGGAATCAAAATGTAATCTTTCAGCGGGATCATGCACGAAAAGTCTTGAGCGACACACGGCAGATAAGCAAATAACGGATTCGGTTTTTATAATCCTCGGCTGCGCCTCGGATAAGAATATCAACCTCATTCGTAATTTGCTACATATCGGCCTTGTATAAAGTTGATAAATATTGTAGTAACTAGGAAATTCCACTAAGCTTTAAATCGGTAAACTATAAACAAAGTCAGATCCTCCCTCTGGAACCTCAGAAGGGTATGCGGCAAATCATGGGGAACATAGATTAGGGGAGTCGTTAATCTATGTGGGGAATGAAGCCCAAACAAATTTACTGGATTTACCAAATGTATATATATATATGGATGAAATTACCCTCCATACCGCCTTCTCTTCCAAGGCTCCAATACCAGCCAGGCAAATCAGAAACGAACGAGGCAGAAATGTTGACAACATAAATATGGACTTGGCAACAATTCTCGAATGGGGATTCAATAATGCCTTTTCTCTAGAAAAGCCGATCTCACTGTGCCCAACATAAGCTTGTCAGGAGTAACCATACCTTTGAATATATCAATTTCGATGCTTGGTATTACTATCAGCAATAATCTTTCTTGGAAAAATCACGTGAGATCAATTGCTAAAAGTGCATCCCAAAAACTTCGTTTTCTGTTTCGGGCCAGAAGCTATTTCACTTCCAGTCAGCTGCTTATGATCTATAAGGCACAGATCCGACCTGTCCTGGAATACTGTTCCCATATTTGGAGTGCAGCACTCAAACATACCCTGAAACTGTTGGATTCTGTCCAAAAAAGGGCAATTCGTCTCGTGGGTGATGCCTCCGCTCACAAACTCACTTACTTCTCTGGAACACCGTAAAAAAGTTGTCGATCTGGCTCTATTTTATAGATATTTTCATGGATGATGCTCTTCTGAAATATCAACAATTGTTCCTCCCTTAGCAATCCTCGCGAGATTAACCCGTCGAGTTGAGGCTTCGCACCCCTTCGGGGTCAGTTGGTCACTTTGGAGGCCTGCAGAACATCTCTTTCCAAAGACTCGTTCATCCAACGAACAGCTAGGCTCTGGAACACAAGGGTGGTGTTCCCCGAGGCATATAACCTCCAGAAATTCAAGAAGAACAACAATTCCTACCTTATTTCCCTTGGTTCTCACGATGTTCTCTGAACATTACAGGATATCTCTTTTCGTGGGAACCAGAACATAAAAAAAAACAATGGTAAAAGCAATGGTCACGTATGGCGCGGTAGTCTGGTGGACTGAAGGTAAGCAAGGGACAGCCAGGGCAAAGCTTGGTGGTATTCAGCGGTTGTCATGCCTGGCCATTACAGGGGCGATGTCCTCTACTCCA